AGGAATACATTTCTGCTGATATTGCGTATGAAGGCAAATGAGGTTTAAATTGCACAATTGCCACAATCCACTGATTCTAGTACACAGAATTGTAAAAATGTCTTTACCCTTGAAATGAGAACTATCTGTGAGGAAGTGAATGTTACAGAGACATTTTGACCCAGACAGGGGGAAATGATTATTGTGTTGCTAAAAGCTGTGAAGGGCACAGTGGCATCGGTCACATTTCAGTCCAAAGTCAACATTTGCAAGGCCTGTTTTGACTTGTTTTATTAAAAAAAAAAAAGTGCCATGTTCATACATTTAAATGCTTCTTCTTTTCAGGAAGAAATTGGCATTCATTCAGAGTAGAGCACAAACAGGAAAATTATGGTACAAGCGTTCTCTGTATTTCATTCCAAAGAAAATTGGCTTGATTAGAAAATGATAGTGTAAAAAAGGTCCGGCATTCTACTGCTAACTGAGTTTAAACTGTCTCATTGAGATGTTTTAATGATATTTTCCTCTAACACACCCTTTTTTACAGAACTATTTCTCCACGAACACTCATTACAAGACCACTCTGTCTTCTCACTTTTAATATTGTTGTGTTTCAGTGTCGTGGTGAAAATCAGTACCTTACGTTACTTTAAAGTGAACTCTTAGCAGAAAACCTAGTCTTATTCCTTCTGGTATAAAGGTTAACATCTGTGTTATGACTCATGTGCTATGCCTGATCTCTGATTTCTTTTGACTGAGTTTCAGTATTAGTAGTTTGTATTCCACTGCTTTCGTCAGAAGACACGGCAATGTGGATGACAGAGCCGGCAGGATTTCAAAAGCAGCCGTTTCAGTTCAGCAGTGTGCAGAGTTTGTGCAGCATTTGTTAGTTTCTGTAAAGTGACACGAAAGAATGAATCAATGAAGACTGCAGACCAGACAGGCTGCCGGCATATTTAGCGAAGGTACAGAGCTTTAAAAATCTGTCTTTTTTCGTGCTCTTCAGATGACAGAACAGAGGAAGCAGAAGCAGCGGATTGGTCTGCTGGGACACCCTCAGCACATGAACGTCAACCCTCAGCAGCCTGCATAAGATTCAACCGACACGGGCCCCGAAGCAGCTCGGCATCAGCTTTGTGTCTGGACGGAGTGTGCCGCCCTCACTCAGAGGTTGCACATAATGTATACTGCACTGAGTGTGAGTGTAACTAATAACCGTAGGGAAACACTGTAACATAGGTAGTCATAAGGCGATGTGTAGCTAACCCACGCACGTGTTACTCCTAACAGTAACACTCACCCACCTCGTTCTGTTCAGTCCAGTTGGAATTGGTGCCAAATGTTTTCTATGTAGAAATTAATTGGATTTTCTCAACACATGGCCTTTACTGGTTGAACTTGAAACATGATGTATAGCTGACTGGACAGGAGGAATTAGTCCCATTTGTTATTCATTTTTTATTTTATTTTAATGTTTTCTATTTATACTTCTGGCATAATGAGCAGTATTAAATGTCTTATTTTTGTATGTTGTGCAATATATAATAACTTAAATATGCAACCTCATTGGTGTGTGGATTTAAGTTCCATCAATCATGTCTTATTTAAAAGCGTGGGCCACTGTTTTTGTTCGTACTTTACTACCACTGGATAAAATAGGGAGTAGTTTGTCGTCTTTACTTGCGCAAATATAGAGATAATATTTAATAAGCTGGCCTTCTAAATTTTACTTTATTTCTTGAAAATGTGCATACTTATTGAGTGTCAGCTGCACTCAGTAGATATAGTATATTGTGTGAGAGCAATATATACAGATAGTTTTCTTTCACCTGTGTAAATCCAATGGTGTCATTTCTCAGTGCTAACTTATTTTATGATAAATTTGCTTTCTTATTTAATTTGGATTTAAAGGACATATAGAATGTTTGACTTGTTGGCCAAATATGTACTGTATAATTTATTTGGGATCACTCATGCTATTACAATTTGCTCAGGAGTTGTGTAACTGTTACTGTAAGAATCGTCATTAGCATAATTTCCTGTTCTGCAGCAAACTTGTTCCATTTGTGCCTGTTTTGGTCCTCATTTTAAAGTCTTATACAAGTTTGCTGCATGTGCAGAGTCACTAACTTTTATGTTCATGTTCACTAAAATGTATTAGTCGGTTTTCACGCTACTGTTAGAATGATCTCTCTTTTTTGGACTACTTTATGTATATAAAGTTTGTTGCTTATCTTTGCTTTTGTATAGAAAATGAGAAAAGAAAACTGTTGCTCATGAATGTTAAGATTAACTCAAAACCACTGTCAATTTGTATATTAAAGTAGAATTATTTATTAAAATTGATGTAATTATCCTTTACTTCATGTTGTGTTTGTTTATTGTTGAGGTGATATTATAGGATTAGGAATATAAATATAAAGTAAACCATTATTGTTTAAAAATGTTCAACAATGAGTTTGCCTCAACCATTAACTCTTTTCGGTTTGTGCTGGTGCATTTTCTGTTCAGTAGCTAATATGACATCATTAAATAAAAGACATTTAGCATGTAGATATCACTGATAGGAACATAAGAAATAAAAACACATAAGGGAAGAGCAGTACGCATACCGCTCATGATTGTTTTAGTCAATTACAAATGCCACCTCTTAATTCTATATACAATATATTCCGTAAGTCAGGCGCAGTTTTTTCCAATTCAGAAATTAAACTAGGCCATGTCATGGATTCATTTTGCTTTCAGAGAAACTACCTCTGTTAACTGGAAACTTGCATGTCTGAAACCAGCAAATGTCGGCAGTATGTGTGGAATGTGTGTAATTGGGTAGATATAAAATTGCATGTATCCTCATTAATCAGGGGCTTTCTTAAAAGATTCCCTACATGCCAAGTATTTATCAAGCTCTACATGTCTTCAGATGAGCTGATCCGGATCTACTTTTCAGTGGGTCCAGCAATTACGCCTCATAAATGACTGTCCCCATTTAATTCTTCATACACTGACTCAAGACAGCTGATAATAGTATGCCTACGCTGCTAATCTGTCTGTCACTGAAGATCAGTTCACAATCTGTGACTCAAATTTAGATTTTCTCCACAGGCTTACATTTAAACATGGAAAAACATAATGGGGCCATAATGTCCTTTACAAACTTACTGCAGCTTTAAATGTAGGGTTCAGCTTCAGCAGAATTACCAGCGAGCTAACACCATTCATTATTAATATTAGTGCATAGGGAACATCCCATAGAGCTAACTGTCCCTATTTGTATTTTTGTTGCAGGGCTGGGGAAATACCGCCATGCTGCAGGGCATGGCTAACATGGGTAAATATAGGCGGTAATGGAAAGTAGCTATGTATGGTTTACTGCCGTGCTTATGTACAGTTTTAAGGTGCTTTTACTTGAGTATTGACTATTTTATGTTCCTTCATATTTCCACTCAACTACATTTTAAAGGAAAATATTCTACTTTTTTCTCCACTATATTTGTTTACCAGCTATTAATTATAAATTATGTGTCAGATTAAGATTTTACATACCAAAAAATATAAACCTCTAAAATATTTAGCCATTTTGTTGCTAATGCATTTTCCCGAAAGCAGAACTTTTACTTGTAATGGAGTCTTTTATAGTCCGCTAGAGCCATTGACATTATATATAAGTAGATAGGACTTACTATTACTATTAAGTAGCGTTAATGACTTGAATACTTCTCCCGCCACTCAGACTGACTGACACTGATTCAGGTTAAAAAGAGTTACATTCAAGACCCCCTCAGTGTGCTTGCACTGCTGCTTATTTTCCCATGGCTTCTTTCCACAGAACAACAAAAGCAGAAAGTCGGAGGGTTTCATTTTCCTCTAGGATGTTATCTGCGTTTACAACGAGTGTTGACAGAGACCTGTTTCCCGCTCCCTGGTTTCCGCTGTTCCTCTGGCACTGTTTCTATCTATAGTCTGGCTGCTTCGGGACGTCGGTGGGAGGAACCGACCGACCAGTCGGTCACTCTCTGTTGTCTCCGCAGGGATTCGCTCCCCGCTTCTCTCGCGGCCATGAGGAGCTCAACGTGACAGCGCGCTGGGTACAAGCGTAGTATCAGCGCGGCAGCCGGTAGGCCTGTGGAAAACACACACACACACAAGACAACAACAAATCGCTCCGCTACTGTGTAGTCCGCTGCAGGTGCACGTGCCGCGCAGCAAATGGGTACAGTATGAAATTACACGGTGTCCCCACTGAGCGCGTGTCACATGCCAGGCTGCGGAATGACTGCCCCGCTGGATCAAACACCGTTTATTGAGGATCGGTGACTCATTTTATCACGCTATTATTGCTGGTATTATTGAATCGGGATTGCCATTGGCTGTATCAAAGCACTCAATCTATGGAATATATAAAAGATTGTTAAAAACGTGTCAAAACTATTTTGAGTTTTCAGTGTTTATAGCATGTATTATTTTTATTAGTAGTAGTATCAATATTATTAAATGTTAATATAATAAAACATCGTGTACAGTGTGTCTGTTCCCATATTATTACTCCAGAGACAGAGCATGTGACCCAGGATTAACTTCATTGTGACTTCTCGTGTTTAATTGCTGTTAATAAGCACACTGGCTTCCAGCTAATGACTAATGAGCCAACAATGTTTTCAGCAACTCCATATGCCACAACGTCTCCAGCCCTTTACAGTCACAATGTCGTATTAAATGCTGCCACATTCACTCGATAATAGTCCACCGCTTCATAACTGTGGACGGGGGAAGTGTTGCTCCACTTTCCGCCTGTCTTTGTAAACACGGTCGGCTCTGCAAACACGGTTTGCCTCGAGAGCCGGAGCATGGTGGTACACGGGACTCGGCCCCAGTGGAGGAGTACTACAGAAAGGGGTTGTACTCTAGCAGCAGGGCGAGGGGAGGAGGTGTGTGTGTGTGTGTGTGTGTGCGGGGAGGGTGAGGAGTTGAAAGCGCCGTCCAACACGTGAGGCTCATGTGACGGTGTCGAGGCTGTGTCTCTAGCCGAGAGACGTGCCTGCAGTCACAGGGTTTATTTAACACGTAGTCACAAACCCACCCAGCTCTCACACATTCAGCCGTGCGTGGAGCCTCCCTAGACATACTACTGAGTCCGGACCTCTGGGTGACAACAACTGCGCCGTGCTCCACTCCAGCTCGAAGCGGGAACGCACACACACACACACTGGATAACAGGAGATACTTTTTGTCTTTCTTTTCATTTTTTTGTACGCTTTCTCTCTCGGTTTGAAGTGCGACTGCAGAGACGCGTTTGGGACGTTTTGAAGGCTTTTTGAAGTCATTTATTCGGGTTTTACAGTTAGGCGACATGGAGAGGATTACCAGTGCGCAACCACCTCCCTGTGTGCCAAAACACGCATCAATGGATATAGCTGACATGCAAGGGTAAGATAAATAAATTCTTTTTTTTTTAATTATTATTATTATTATTTTATTCTACCAGCTAGCCTATATAAAACACTTCATAGGCTTCTGAACCCTAACCTGCCACCAAACTAAAGACTAACTCATTTCTTCTTGTCTCCAAAGGATGGATTTTCCCATTTACATGTACAAACCCAGGAGGAGCATGAAACGTGTGGATGAGAGCAAGGTAAATTCAAGCAAAAATGCAAAATATATTTTTTCCGTTTATCAGTAAAAACCGAGCAGCCTGGATCTCACTGACAGCGTTTTCTACCCTCTCCAGGAGACATACAAGTTGCCACACCGACTGATCGAAAAGAAACGACGTGACAGAATCAACGAATGCATCGCCCAGCTCAAGGATTTGTTGCCAGAACATCTTAAGCTTACAGTGAGTATTATCTTCTACATATGGCATGTCTGCTAACAGCCTGGGAATCTGAGACGCCACATGGTTCTGCTGAGCACTTTATTTGCTCCAAGCCTTTGGATTCAGTTTTCGAGTTTCAAAAATAAAATAAAATACAAATTTGGGATTTTATAAGTTGGATAAATATAGATTTTTTTTTTTAATTTAGTAAAAAAATTTTGTGTGTGTAAATTCTAGTAATTTTTTGGGGATTTTAATTTGTTGTAGAGAATTTGGTGTGTGTACGTGGATTGCATGACTTCCCCGGTGTTCGAGGCTTGTTCTCTGTTCAGCTGCAGAATGTGTTACATAAGAAAGATCAACATGCTTATTGAAGGTCTTCCTGTTTTAGACGCTGGGTCATTTGGAGAAAGCTGTGGTGCTGGAACTCACTCTCAAGCATGTGAAAGCCCTGAGTACCCTCCTGGAGCAGCAGCAGCAGAAAATCATCGCGCTACAGAAGGACCTGCAAATCAGTAAGTCTGATGCCGTGATACTGTGTAGACGCAAAGTACAAATAGTTGTTTTCCGTAAGGCATCAACAGCCTGAGCGCTCTGGGATTGTCTGAATCTAATGGAACTATTTTAAGGTAAACCTTGCAGTGAAGATGATTTTTAACCTTGTGATTCTTCTCAACCAGGTGATCATGGAGGTGACAGTTCAGAGAGCAGCGAGGAGATGTTCCGCTCCGGCTTTCACCTGTGCGCAAAAGAGGTCCTCCACTATGTGGCCAGCCAAGAAAGCAGCAGGGACCTTACTCCTTCCCATGTCATCAGCCACATTCAAAAGGTAGCAGCTGAAGTCCTGCACCATCGGAGCGGCCTACACCAAAGCGAGTCCATCCCCCAAGCTTCAGAGAAACTGAAGAAACCTGCCGGACAGCCCCAGAGGGCGTTTGAGGGCCCAGCTAAGAACTGTGTTCCCGTCATTCAAAGGACTAACCCCCATGGCATGGGAGAGCAGAGCGGCAGTGACACAGACACTGACAGCGGTTACGGGGGAGAACATGACAAGCGTGACCCCAAAACCCGGTGGTCAGAGAGCCACGCGAAAGAGGGGGAGCTCAAGCATGCCTTGTCTGAGAGGACGGCCGGAGCCATCAAGCAGGAGGGCGATGAGCCTCAGGCCAAGAAGCTGAGGTCTGACTCACCAGAGGAGGAGATTCTCTCTGGTCACACGGCAGGAGGCCCTGGCAGCTACATGAGCTTCTCCCCCAACCAGCCCCCGTTTTGTCTCCCCTTCTACCTCATCCCCCCTACAGCTGCCCCAGTGGCTGCCTATCTGCCCATGCTGGAGAAATGCTGGTACTCCGGGGGAATGTCAGTTATGTACCCAGGCATGAGCGGCTCTGCATCCAGCTTGGCCCCAGAGACTCTCCCCTCATCTCTGGTGATGTCCCCGCGGGCAGGGTCTCCAGTTCCCCACCAGAACTCCATGGACTCCCCTGCTCTTCACAAAGCTTTAAAGCAGGCCCCTCCATTGAACTTGGAAACCAAAGACTGAACTGACGTTTCTGTTGGAATCTTGCCCTCTGAATGTTGATGGGGTTGAATGGTTGGCCCACTGAAAAGAGGGTAAACAAACACAAACTCGCTGGTATCCCTTCAAACCACAGCCGCTGCTTGGCCCGTCAGAACATTGACCGCAGCAAAGAGCCCCAAATGGCCGCCACCGTCTATCATCACTGAAACTGGACTTTTTTTGGGCAACCTCGAGTGCCCCCGTGAAGGCTCATAGATCACCTGAAACACTGTGAAGATGGTCAGTTTAGAGACGATGAGTGCGCACGAAAGATGGCGAGATGTTCAAATTTCTTTTAGCAAGTTTCGTCTTCACCGCGCTCATTGTTGAATGTCAGAAGTAAAATCCAGAATGTAAGGCACAGATAAGCCCCCACCCCAAAATTATTTGGACCTACTTTTTGCACACACACCAGTCTGTAATGAATGTAAAGATTAAACAAAAGCCCCTTGTAGATGCTGCTTGAATTATTATTACCCGCTGTAGATCTGTGAATGAAGGATCTACCTTCAGTGTTTGTCGCGCCTGTAATGGCAACAAGCTATTGTTTAGACTAGAATGTTACCAAAAAAAATAGGACTGGTTCATGTTGACCAGTGACGTCACAAAAGACATTGCTCTTTTGACCCTACGATTACCTGGGAGCTAACTGAACACGAGTGTTCCAAGAATTCAGGGCGTTGTCACTGTACGAGGTGTGTCACTCATGTCTGCTGAAGAGTGATGTGGCCATACGTGCTTTTACAATTATTATTTTTTGACTCATGCCTATTCGTGCATCTAGATGGAGTTCCTGTGAAGTCTCGTCATGTGATTATTTTTGTTTATACTACTCGTACATCTCTATTTTTGATACGTGACCCACTGAGTGTATCTGCATCGCTACCAGAGGAAGGTTGAGGTAGTCATTTGCTGTATGCCAAGCGAACGTGTACAGTATATAGCATTGTGCTCAACCAGATTTGCATCTTGCCCACAAATTCCCCGTCGAGTTAAGGCTTGACCTTTGCTTATGCTGTTGCCTTTGCTCATTTAATGCAGACACAACGATGGCAGGTGTTTAAATGTATTTGCTTTAAATGTGTCTGTGGCAAAGAGAGTGAATGTAAAGTTCAAACAAAAATAATAGTTTTGTATAGAAAGAGGTACTTGGGATTTTTATTTTGAAATGTAACAAAATGTCGTTTGTTGTACATATTTTGTATATAAAGTATTATTGATATATATTAAAATATTAATAAAGCTTTTTTTCCCCCGTGGAATTTGTGTTTCACTGCCTGATGGCTTGAACGTGTTGTAGGCAGCCAACCTGACAGCTCCTCATAACAACACATACTTACATAACACTTACATAACCTATAAAGCAGCAGAGCCTGTGTAAATCAATAGCGTGTCTTAGATTACAGGCTGTAAACATTTTAAATTATAAAGTCTTTCAATGGAATGATTGGTGGGGTGTTAGTGAATTTTAGAAAAAAACAACTTTATTTTACTGTTAACAGTGAAACTTTTAGCTCCTCTCAACTGGGATAATCATGGACAAGATTTTGCTTATGCACTATATTATACTAAATATTATACACTAATAAAACTGGTCCTGCAATCCACAATATTAGTTTAGAAACTACAGATAAGCTTTTGGTTTTCTTTAAAAACGGAGACGCACTACAAAGTCACTGAATTTTACTTAGTCATTTCTCTTCCATACAGTTTATATGGTGTATATACTGTATGGCAGCCACTGTAACAATACTGAAAGTGTGCTGAGTAGGAGAACAAAATGTGTCTGGCAACTTGAGAACACCACAGTAGATGGAAATGGTATTTGAGGTTGCGGGGGAAAGGACTTCTATATCTTTGATTTACTTTCACATTTAACAATATGGAAGAGCAGGCTTCACCAACCTCCTGCTGCTTGCTGACTGTTTCCTGGGTGGTAACACTGCTATATATGTAGTGATACTGAAAATAAAAAGACCCGTCATTTGCTTACCACCCACCATGCCTCCCTGAGAAATGTGGAATTGGCACTTTTCTTTTCTTGTAATCACAACAGTATTTTGTAATTTGGTCTGCTTATCAGTGAAATAATCCCAACAGCACATTTTGAGATTTACTCCCCTCAGGCCTGTTGACTGTCCTGATACACTCATAAATGCAGTACCGCCGCCACCTTGTGGAATTAATGCTTTACAACACACTGGCTACCATTTTCACACCAAGGTTTAAATCTTCATTAGACCACCTTAAGGAACACCAACTGAGAATATGTCAGTAACAATGTAGTAGAAGCATATAACTGTCAGTGTGAAAACCCCTCATCAAAATATCATGCTCATCCTTTTGCTCATTGTCCTGTGTAATAAATACTATCCACTTTAATCAATATTTGTGTATTATCAATGCATAAAATGACTCCATGGACTGTGAAAGAGTTCCTAGTAGTGACAGACCCACAAAGAATTATCGAAGCCTCTTTCAGTTTATTGTTTTGGTTTTTACTGCCCGCAACTTCATGGTTTTGGTTCACTCTCACTACCCTCACCAGTCTCGTTTCCAGCCACAGCAGGAATTTTCTGTCCCAACCCGCTGTGCGCAACCTGCCCAGCAAAAACAGCAAAAACACAACATTAGCAGAGCTGGTGAACATGGTAGCGCATAGACTTTTTCCACAGCAGCCATTTTAACATGTAATAGTTAAACACAGGTGTTACCAATGACACTAATTGCCATTTAGTGTAGCAGAGCCTTTCCAGTGAGCCAACATGCACAATAGCAGCACCCTGACCTGAATGGAATGGAACCTTAATTAGTATCATCGGTAACACCTGTGTGTACCCTACTATTTCATGTCAAAATTGCTTCTGAAAAAGGTCTATTTGGCAGCTAAAGAGCCAGATATTTCCCTCAGGAGTTGATGGAACCAGACTGGAGCTAAAAGGAGAATGAATATTGGAATTGCTTTTGGCAGCTGGACGGAGACACAGTTCCAAATGAATGCTAATGCTGCTCGTACCGGCCAGATGTATAAATTACAAACAACTGTTCACAAGCAAGGTCACTCTATCAACTTTACAGTGTGCATGGTAAAAGCATGACAATGTAAGGTTTACTGCTTGTTTCTGCTGCCCCCAAGTGGTCAGAAATAGGTTCATGTAGGTTTAAAATCCCACAGGAGCACAAAGTTAACTGTCCCAATGGATGAGGAAGCTACATCCACAGAAGAGCATGGATAGCTTCTCAGGATGCAAAGTCACTGTGGTGAGTCTCAGTATACGTAACATTTGAGAGGGAACCATCATCCCAAGTGCTCCCCACAGCAGTGTCGATATCACACACTAACCATCAAGCTACATGCAGCTGTATTTTGAATGAATCTCTTTATTCAGATTGTTTGTTTCCTGTCCTCCTCAATTAGTTCACAGTCTTATCTGAATGTGTCCTTCACTGACTGGAAGGGAATTTATAATTGAACCGAGGCCGGACGTGACCTCCCCGGAGCCTCACTGCCTGAAGTGGCATCCCTGATGGCTACTGCAGAAAACACTGACACCAGTGTAAAAGAGGCAGTGAAAAGATAGAGACTGGCCTCCAAGAACCACACAAATGTGATAGCATGAAAAGAATGACCTTGTTATTGAGATGCTGGCTGATAAATGTCTAACTTTGAAACTTGGTGTCACAAAGGACATAACAGCTGAGACTGTGGAGCTTATGTGCATGGATATTGCCTCCATGGTTACTGTTGCTGAGAACAGTGTGTGCACTGTGAATGATGCAGCAGGGAGAATTGTCATGGCTTTGAGGCTAATTTCTCATAAGTCTCATCAAAGAGAAGTATGACCTTAAAGAGAAGGTCCAAAAAAGGTCATTCATCCAGCTATATAGAAGAGTAGCTGAGAACAAGAGCCATCAGAAGAACCTGAGGCAGACGCTTGACAACTATATCAAATTGTACAGCACATAGACAATATGTTACTGATGTGAGCTAAGTTAAAACTTTCAGCATATTAAATGTATGACTGATCAACTGCTTCCAAAAATAAAACTGATTGCAAATAGGTTTTACAAATGACTTTTTGTTATCCAAATATATGGAAACCTTTTGCTCACAGTAGCTTGCTGCATTTTTGTTAAAGGTTTACAGGCAATGTGACTTCATACATGATGTAAAACAACAGCTTGTGCTACCGACAGATTTTTTTCTGGAATTTATTGATTTGAAAAAGAAAGAAATGATTGCGGCAAGTAACATCAAATGAATTCCCCTGCATACAATTATTTCCATCGACAAATACATTTGAATGTTGAAAAATATCAAGGTTCGGTACACTTTGGGCAATCTTCCAAGAGGGGCATGATGATCACTTATCCATGTTTATACCAGCCTCATGCAGTCTTAATGAAAACTGATCCTCTTACTTACCTTTGTGTGCTACTATAGAAGCTGAACACAACAACATACAACCACTTACTCTCACAATTACAGGGGGCATAAACTTGGAGATTATAATTCTACCTTCCACACACAGAAATCATTGAGCAACATTTACTGACAAAACTTAGAACATGTATGTATTCCTGGATTACATGGAAATAAAGATTTTTTTTTTGAAAGCATTAAATATTTGCTCTCTTTCCTTTACTCTGTATATGTAGTTTTTTATGTATTGGGTTTAAAGGTCCAGTGTGTAACATTTAGAATCTTTTGGCAGAAATGTAATATAATATTCATAGGGACATTTTTTATTAGCGTATAATAACCTGAAAATAGGAATTGCGTTCTCATTACCTTAGGATGAGTCATTTTGATTAACAGATGTCGTGGGTCGCCACCATCTTGAACTGCCACAGAAGCCCAGAAGGGACAAACCAAAAACTGGCTCTAGATAGGGCCTTTTGTGTTTTTGCAGCCATCGTAGTTTTTTCTACCTACTTCACAGCCTGTTCGCATTCCCGGGTCATGAAATACAGACGCCACGGTGTTTGGTCAGTTGCAATCTGTGACTAGTGACCATAAAGCCAAATTACAAAGAAGAGATGATTAAGTTGTCAAGCTGTTCTTAGATTGTGTCCCTAAACAACACTGTAAAATGATGCCACCCATTCTGTAATGTTGTTAATCAGTTAGGCTATATTGATAGTGCAGTGCCATAATATTAAAGCACATCAGCCTAGAAATGTGTTTTCTCTGCTGCCTATCTGAAATTGTGAAGAACAGTATGTTCAAAGATCTATAAAGTTCACTTAGTGAAGACAAAAACTTAAACTGTTTGATGAGATTAGAGTTATCAGGCATTACTGCATTCCACTGGCAAGAACAATAATATGATTTCCGGTCAGATCTTTTTCAAAATAAAAGTGTATTTTCTACAATAACTTCTACACTTCTTCTACAATAACAGTAATAGGAGAATGGAGTAAAATGCAAACATAGCTGTTATTAATCTAATGTTAATCTGTCCTTCTACCATAATCCAACCTATTAAATGACATGTCCTTCATTTTAGTTGAACTGTACAGTTGTGACACATTGAGAAGCAAATGCAGCATATGTGCCTTTGCATTGCTCCATCAATAAACAGCCCACATCATGCCAGATAATAATCAGACCTCACCTGAGAAATCATGGCAACTGTTCCTCTTTTGTCCTGAGTTTCCCTGGTTCCTCTAAATTGACTT